AGGGGGGCAGAGGGGGAAGCTTGGGGAGAAGAAGCAGAGTGTGGGGTAAAGCTCAGCAACATATGGACGTATATATATATATCACTTCTGGGGTGGGGTACAGCAACGGCTGGAACACCGGGAGCTGGGAAACTAGCCCAAGACTATTATTTAGTTCAAATTAGATTCAGAAAATACCACGAATGGAAATCAATGCGAGAGAGTCCGTTGGCTCGGGGCCATGGAGAGCAACCTGGTGCTCAGCACAGGATCCCAAATCAAAGGATCCCAGACAGGGATCTACCAGGGGACTTGCAGAGCACAGTCCAAACACACAAGAAGGCAACAACATAATCAGAGTTCTGCCTGTTTTTAAAGTTGTGCATTCATTGCAGGTAAAACTTCACACAGACACACAGACAACCACAAACAAACACATGCATTCACATGTACACACGCACACACACACACACACACACACACACACACACACTTGAAAAATGGGCCCTAGCCAACAACATGAAGCTTAATGTGGAGATATGCAAGATTTTACACCTAGGCAGGAAAAACCATAGGTATCAGATTAGGCGAAACCTGGCTCAAAAACAGGAACTGTGAGAGGGACCTTGGAGTCCTAGTGGAGGATCCCTTAAACATGAGCCAACCATGTGTGGGAGCAGCCAGAAAAGCTAACACAATCCTGGGTTGTATAAACAGAGGCATCGAATCAAAACCGCGTAAAGTCTTAGTACTGCTTCCTAAAGCCTTAGTAAAGCCACACCTAGAATACTGTATCCAGTTTTGGTCACCACATTACAAAAAAAGACGTTGAGACTTTGGAAAAGGGCAAAGAAGAGCCACTGAGAGGATTAAAGGCCTGGAGACTAAAACACATGAAAAAAGACTTGCAGGATTTGGGTTTGGCCAGTCTAGAGAAAAGAAGGAGTAAGGGGGACAGGATAGCAGCCTTCCAGGATTTGACCGGCTGCCAAAAAGAAACCAACTTATTTTCCAAAGCACCAGAAGGTAAGAAAAGAAACAAAAGTTGGAAACTAATCAAAGAGAGAAGCAACCTAGAACCATGATGGTGAACCTGTGGCATACATGCCGGAAGTGGCACTATAGAGCCATCTCTGCTGGCACGCAAGCCATCACCTTGGATCAGGTCCACTGTGCATGCGTGAACGCCTCCCACCAGCCAGCTGATCATCAGGTATCTGCCGTGCATGCGTGAGGCGCCCAGTGCACACAGGAGCAGGGATGGGATTCAATTTTTTTAACAACTGGTTCTGTGGGTGTGTCTTAGGTGGTGGGCATGGCTTGGTGGTCATGTGACTGGGTGGATGTGGCTTGGTGGCCATGTGACTGGCTGGGCATGGCCAACTCAACATCACTCACATCGAGGCACGCATCTCCTCGCCTGGCTTCGCGTGACTGTGGGGATGCTGCAACAGTGTGAAAAATGGTCATAAGTCACTTTTTTCAGTGCCATTGTAACTTTGAATGGTCACTCCACAAAAGCAAAGTACCAGCAAAGGAGGGAAAAAAATCTCCAGAGAAGTCCCAGAGATAAGGGTTAACAGAGAGGCAGTTTCTGTCAGCAACACCAGAATGTTTCCTCCCTGCCTTCCTTACAGGATTAGCCCAGTAATTTCTTCTAACAACCGGTTCTCCGAACTGCTTAGAATGTTAACAACCAGTTCTAGCGAATAGGTGCAAACTGGTAGAATCCCACCCCGGTGCAAGGGGTGTCGAGCACACATGAGCAGGGGGCATGGGGTGTGTGTGTGTGTTACGTGCGCATTGCATTATGCACACAATGACGAAAAGGTTAGCCCTCACTGACCTAGAATTCAGGAGAAGCTTCCGAACAGTGAGGACAATCAATCTGTGGAATTCCCTGCCTTCAGACGTTGTGGGTGCTCCAACATTGGTGTTTTTTTTTTAAAGAAAAGACTGGACAGCCATTTATCTGGGATGGTCTAGGGTCTCCTGCTTGAGCAAAGGGTTGGACTAGACCAGTGGTCGCCAACTGGTGGGCCGCAGCCCACTGGTGGGCCTTGAGAAAATTTTGGTGGGCTGCAGAGAAATCTCACCCCAAGAGCACCCCCCCAAAGCAATTAATCCAGGCTGCACAGAAACACAAGGCTGCACTACCCACATGGCCCCCGGGAACCCTCCTTGCCCACTCACTCCTTACCCAGCAAACTTGCCTGCTAAATTGCTATTTTTCCTTTTCCCGACCATCATCTGTTCTGCTGTGCCGGGAGATTTAGATTAGCTAGGAAGCAGGAAATGGTTGGATTTCTTGCTTTCTAGCTAGTCTTTAGATTTTCAGCTCTGCTTTTAAGTACAGCCGAACCTCCCTTAGGACTGAAGGTTTGCTTGCAAGCAAATTCAGTGCAGACTCATGGCAAGCAAATTTGAGAGACTGAGCTAGCCGATGGCAGATAGATAGATCACTGAATGATTCTGTAAGCAACTCAATCTGCCTGCTTTGATTGATTTTGGGTAAAAATTGTTTTTTTTTTTAATAAAAAATTCAATATTTACATACATGGTGTGTTGTGAGTTAATTTTGTGAGTTTGCTTACTGGCAAATTTTATGTGACAGACTGAGCTAGCCGATGGCAGATAGATTTCTGAATGAATGTGAGCAACTCAATCTGCCTGCCTGCTTTGCCTGGTTTTGGGTAAAAGTTGCTCTTTTTAAATAGAAAATTCAATATTTATATAAATATTTATAATATTTACATACAAGCCGTGCCCAACCAATCCACACCCACAAATTAGGCCATGCCCACAGAACCGGTTAGTGGTCCCTGGGATCTAAAATTATGAGTTTGGCGGTCCCTGAGGTCCAAAAGGTTGGTGACCCCTGGACTAGATGATCTCCAAGGTCCCTTCCAGTTGGCAAGGAGCCAGCATAGTTTCACCCTTGCCAGGAAGTCTGTCTGGGGAAAGGGGAGGGTGTGTCCTATAGCAGGGCACCTGACCAGCAGCTGAGGACCATGAAGGTTTCACAACCACTCTCCCTGAGTAAGAAGCGTCCAGTGGTCAGCAGAACCTGGTCATTTCCAGCAGGGGCCTGCTCCTCTGCCTGGGATCGACACAAGGGTGGCAGGGCCTCACCCATGTGCCCAGTGGCAGATTAAAGCTCACTGGTGCCCTAAGCACTGACAAATCTTGGTGCCCCTCCTGCTTTGTACATATTGACGTTTAGTGGTTAATACAGCGCTGCGCATGCCCCCTACAGGAGCTGCCTGGGAGATGCTCCTGCAAGCCCATCTCCCTCCCTCTACAGTGGGTGAGTTGGAGGGCAAAGCTTCCTTTGTGTAAAGAGGTGGGGAATTCTGAGATGTCACCATTGCGAGGAAGCAGGATAAACATGCAGAAAATAGCTAAATACCTTTAACATTCATTGGGAAGCAGCCAACGATGGTTATAAGATTGAGGGCTGTATCACGGTTCTAAAGAACGAATGGTCCTTGATTTACAATCCTTCATTCATTAACTGTTTGAAGTCAGGGTGATGCTGAATGAGGCTTACAACTGGGTCGCTGGAATTCCCCTCCTAACTGGCACCTCTTGCGTGCCCTTGCTTTGCGACGCATTGCTTAGCGATGGACATTTCGCTCCCAATTCCAGAATAAGGACTATCTGTAACTAAATAACTAAATAACAACTAACCAATAAAGCACTGATGATGTTCCCTAGTTGGGTCATGAAAATAAACAAGCTCAGAGAACTCCAAGGATCCCACAGTCCTCCTCTTCCTCCTCCTTTCCACAAACCACACTCCCTTCTATCACTGATGATGTTCCCTAGTTGGGTCATGAAACATCTGCCAGAAAACCACAAAGCTCAGAGAGAACCAAGGACCCTCTAGTCCTCCTCCTCCTCCTCCTGCTTTCCTCCTCCTCCTCCTCCTCCTCCTCCTCCTCCTCCTCCTCCTTCTCTCTGCAAATCCCACTCCCTTCTAGCACTGATGATGTTCCCTATTTGGGTCATGAAACATCCTCAAGAAAACCACCAAGCTCAGAGAGCATCAAGTCCTCCTCCTCTTCCTTTCCACAAATCCCACTCCCTTCTAGCACTGATGATGTTCCCTAGTTGGGTCATGAAACGTCTGCAAGAAAACCATCAAGCTCAGAGAGCACCAGGGACCCCTCATAACAACAACTAAACTGAGGTCAGTTATTGAAAGCCTTAGAAGTTATCCATATGGTAGCTGGGGCATTTCCTCCCCCCTTTCATGGCATGCCAGTTCTGCCACCCACAACGAGTCCTGCCCTAGAGAACGTCCCCTCCCCCACATCAAATGCAAATGCCCATCAAGCACAAATCTGTTCCCTTCTCTTGACCCCTCCAGTCCCAAATCTTTGTTTCAAGGGAGAAGATCTTCAAGAGATCCAGGTGGTCCCCTTTGATCCTCTCTTTCTTGAGAGCCCAATGGAGCCACTCAGAGCCAGCTGCTCAGGAGAAGCTCCAGGAACAGCAGGTGGCTCAACCCATGGACCTTCCACTTGGCCAATTTTTGGAAAAGGTCTTCGGGAGCAGGGGCTGCCCAGAATGCCTTGGAGACCGACCGATTCAAGAGATCAAGAGCTCCTGGACCCCATGATGGCAGCCAGCAAACCCAGCCTCTTGGAGATGACACTAAGGGCAGAAATGCAAGAGGAGCAGTGGTCCCATGAGCCACAGCATCCCCACGGGGGCTGCCCACAGTGCTAAATGAGCTAAAGGAGTTTCCTAAGTTGGCATGATCAGGATGCCCTCCTCCAGATCAGTGCCAGACTCCACTTCCTCCCCAGATCATGTCCCTGCAGTCCCTGCGGTGAAGTTTTTCTATGCTCCCGAGCAAGTGTGGGTGTGGGTGTGGGTGTGTGTGTGTCTTAACCCCTTGCACAAATTCTGGCCAATTGCTAGCCTGTGATTCAGCGTTTTGTGCAAAGGCAGAAGAGGGGTGATTTTGACCAGCTGAAAAGCAGCTGGAACCGTCAAGAGCCGCCTGGGAATACCGTCTGGGATCCGGCAGGAAGTCCCACATCCTGTCCGGCAGCACTTCTGGTTCCCCTCGCAGCGGGCATCAGATTGGCACTCCTCCGTGCAGTTCCCATCGGGCCTCTCCAATTCTGCCTGGGGACAGATGCCAGCTTTCTCTGCGACCTCTGGAAGAGAGGTTGAGCCGTGGGTGCCACCTGGTGACGGAGCTCCCTTGCCAGGGCTGGTGGGCATTTCTCTCCCCCTCCACTGCTGCCACCCAGATGCCCCCAGAAGAGGGGCTAGAGCGGGAGAGGGCCCTCGGTCCACCCGGGTGCCCCATGGAATCTCCCCCCAGCCCACCCTCCCATCCCTGGAGGAAGCAGGCCTGTGCCGAGCCTGCTCGGGGGCCAGGGGGCAGAGAAGGAGGCCTCCTTCTTCCTTCTCCTGGGGAGGCCCTTCCACCCACCTGTAGTGTTCTGTCCAGCCACGCCAGGCTCCTGAGCACAGGTCATGAGGAGACCCACCAGGGAGAAGAGGAGGAGGGGGCAGCTGCCTCTCCTGGGTGTCATAGTGGCTGTGGCCGAAGGAAGCTGTGGGATCCGGCCTGCCTCAGGCCAAGCTTTAAGCTTTCCCAGGTGTGGCTGGCAGAGGGGGAGGGTGGAGGGAGGGGAGGGAAAAGACGGCACCCGGGTGAGCAAGCAGCTCTCAGCTCTTGTGCAACTGCAAGGAATCAGGTGTCGCAGCTGGTTCTCCTTCCCCCACCCCCCACCCCATGCAAAAACCAGGAAGCTGCCAGTTCTGAACGCAGGCTGGAACTGACCGGTCGACCAACCAGGTGATTCAGACGTGCCAGGAGAGTTCGCTCCACCTGCTGGGCATCAGCTCTCGGATTCCTCAGCCTTGGTGGATCCTGCAGCCTCCCGGCATGGGCCGTGCTCAGCCTGCCTGGGGCTTTCCAGAGGAGAAGCAGGAGCCCCGGTCAATGCCTGGGGTGGCTCCGGGCCCTGAGGTGATGCAACTGGGCAGAGCCTTTGGCCACATCACAGGCTCCAAGGAGTTTCCCATGCGTTGTGGCTGCTGGCTGCTGGCAATGGGGGCTGGTGGCTTCCTGTAATGAGCTCTTGGGTAGGGCACCTCAGAGAGGCCAGTGAGATAGCAGGAAAAATGGGCCAGGTGCAGGGGTGGGATTCAAATTTTGTAACAACCGGTTCTGTGGGCATGGCTTATTTGGTGGGCGTCACTTGGTGGTCATGTTATTGGCTGGGTGTGGCCAACTCAATATCATTCACATCTAGGCACGCATCTCCTCTCGTGACCGTGAGGATGCTGCAACAGTCGTAAGTGTGAAAAAGGGTCATAAGTCACTTTTTTCAGTGCCATTGTAACTTTGAATGGTCACTCCACACAAGCAAAGTACCAGCAAAGGAGGGAAAATAACTCCAGAGAAGTTCCAGAGACAGGAAGTCTAGTCCTGCCAAGAATGCAATAAGGGTTAACGGAGAGGCAGTTTCTGCAAGCAACACCAGAATGTTTCCTTCCTGCCTTCCTTACAGGATTAGACCAGTAATTTCTTCTAACAACCGGTTCTCCGAACTGCTTAGAATGTTAACAACCAGTTCTAGCGAATAGGTGCGAACTGGTAGAATCCCACCCCTGGCCAGGAGGATGAAAGGCTGCTCTTGGTGTCCACACAATGGAGAAGGTGCTCAAGGGGTCAAGTGAAATATTGGGGTGCACCTAAAAGATGGGAGGACGTGTCTATGGACCTCTCATTTTACAGGAAAGGCTTAAGAAGACCTTGGGTGATGAACATGTCATGCCAGCAGAGAGTGGAGAAGATCTTCACTCCATCCTATCTTGACACTCTCTGCTTCAGCAAGGAGACCACAGTGTAGAAGATTTTGGCTTGGAATGACCACGGTGATCTTCCTATGCTTCAGACTCCAGGACAAGAAGGATGCTGGGCTCACGTTTGCTGGTGGACTTTCCAGAAGCCTCTGGAGATACAAGGAGGAGCACAGAAAGGGAATGAGTCAGTGCAGGAAAGGAGCTTTGGGCTGGATTCAACCACAGGTATCATAAATGGATTTGGGCCATCTTCTCGGTTTGTCTCCAGAAATCAATGCAGGGGAGATATTTTGCTTTCTGTGATATCTGGATCCTTTAGCCTAGACCCCAAATGCTGGAAAGAGATCACTTGAAGATTTGAAATGCCACTTGGGTGAGTCCTGTTCTTCCTTCTCACCTACAAGTAAGTTGGTGAAGGTGTCTTGGATGAAATGAAATCCTGAGAGACAGAATGCCTCGTGGTCGGCAGAAAATCTGAGATGGGCGCAGTGCAGGAAGGCCACATCTTCTCTTAGCCACAGTCCTTGATCTTGGACACCCAAGTGGTGGGAACAGCCAGATAAACAATTGTCTTGGCACACTTGTGGAGTGGCGGCTGACTTTCATAGATCTGGCAAAGATGAGCAGTGTCTAGACTAATGCAGCATCCTCAACAAAGGGTAACAGCTCACTACACTCTGTGATTACTGAAGAACAGGAAAACAGAGTTGGTAGTGGGCCTTGGAGTCCAATCCCTGCTCAAGCAGGAACCCGAATATGATTTCAGACAAATGGCTTCTTCTTCAAAGCCTCCAGTGGTGGAGCATCCACAACTTCTGGAGGCAAGTTGTCCCACTGGTGAATTCTTCTCACTGTCAGGAAATTCCTCCTTAATTCCAGGTTGCTTTTCTCCTTGATCAGTTTCCATCCGTTGCTTCTTGTCCTGCCTTCAGGGGCTTTGGAGAAGAGGTTGACCCCCTTTTATCTGTGGCAGTCCCTCAAACATCACAAGACTAACGTCATGCCACCCCTAGATTAGGTAAAGGTTCTTCCCTTAGCACATATGTGCTAGTCGTTTCCGGCTCTAGGGGGCGGTACTCATCTCCATTACAAAGCTGAAGAAGAGCCAGCGCTGTCCGAAGACATCTCCATGGTCATGTGGCCAGCTGTTCCCTTCCCACCAAAGGGGTCCCTATTTTTCTACTTGCATTTTTTTACATGCTTTCGAACTGCTAGGTTGGCAGAAGCCGGGACGAGTGACAGGAGTTCACTCCGTTACGTGGTGCTAGGGATTCGAACCGCCAAACTGCCAACCTTTCAGATGGACAAGCTCAGCGCCTTAGTCACTGAGCCACCACGTCCCTCACATAGCCGATTTCTGCAACTGTTCTTCACATGTTTTAACCTTCAGTCCCCTAAATTAGAATAGAATAGATGGCCCTGAATAAAGGGACCTATGGCTGGTCCTCGCACACTGACGGGTGTCGCAGCATCCTGGCGGTCACCTGAGCGTGTCTACAATGGATGCAGTGATCAGAAAGGTCAGCAGTTGGCGGTTCGAATCCCCAGCGCCGCGTAACAGAGTGAGCTCCCGTTCCTTGTCCCAGCAGCTTCTTCCAACCTAGCAATTAGAAAGCATGTAAAAAATGCAAGTAGAAAAATAGGGACCCCTTTGGTGGGAAGGGAACAGCGCTGCGTGCGCCTCCGAAGGCATTTAGTCATGCCGGCCACATGACCATGGAGACGTCTTCGGACAGCGCTGGCTCTTTGGCTTTGTAACAGAGATGAGCACCACCCGCTAGAGCCGGAAATGACTAGCACATAGGTGCGAGGGGAACCTTTTCCCTTTTCCCTCTAAGGACACACTTAATTCTGTCTACAGTATCCTGATGTTGTTGCAGTTTCTCTCTTCAGTCCTTATGGGCACTTGTGAGATTATAGCAGCATCGTCAGCCTATATGAGTATCAGGATTTTTACATGTGCTTTTCGGCAGCACATATACTAAGATCAGATTGCAGGGATTCCCTTAACAATGGTGGCAAGAAAGGTCATAAAATGAGGCAAAACTCACTTGAACAGTGGTCTCACTTAGCAATGGAAATTTGGGCTCTATTGTAAGTCGTAACTCAAGGACTGCCTGCACTTGGTATTACTTTTTCTACTTTTTTTCCGCCCCAACATCCAAATAATTTATTGATTTCCAAAGCTGCATATACTGAGCAGTGCAATACATAAACATGAGGTAATACACTTCTTCCAAAAATAGCAAGTTCCAGCCACGTGGTAGCTTGTTCTCAAGTTTAACGTACAACAGAATATATGCCAACTACAGGTCTGGTGCCCAGAGAAAGCTTAATTATAAAAGCTGCTTGCAAGGTTTGCCAATCTGATTGGAATAGTTAATTTCAAACTGCTCAAAACAAAATTGTTCCATGGTTGCTGGCAAAGATATCAGAAAGCTATCAGGTGGCTATTTAGAGCAACAGAACATCTAAAGCAATACAATCAAAACCATGATGTATTTGAGTAGGATTACAGGTTTCAAGAAGAGAATGGACTGCCATTTGTCAGAAATGGTGTAGGGCCGTCATGGTGAACCTATGACACATGTGCCACACGTGGCACGTAGAGCCATTTGTGCTGGCACACCTTTTTCGACCTCCCGGAGGCTTGAGGAAGTCTTCTGCAGGCTTCTGCAGGCCCAAAACTAGGCCCATTTCGTCACTTCCTGTTTTTCCGGAAATACCGGAAGTGAAGAAATGGGCCTAGTTTTTGGCCTGCAAAGCTTGCAGAAGCCTGCAGAAGCCTTCCTGTAATGTCTGGGAGGCTGAAAAAGGACTCAAACTAGCCAAAAATCAGCTGTGAGGTGCAGTGCAGGTAAGGGGGTGGCAGGGTGGGTGGGTGGGATCGTGCGTGCATGCGTAGGGGGCGTGGGGGAGCGCACATTGCCTTCTGAGTGCTGGCACATGAGCACGAGCATGCAAGCGCGTGCACAATTTTTGGCACGGGAGCCCAAAAAGGTTAGCCACCACTGGTGTAGGGTCTCCTGCTTGGGCAGGGGGTTGGACTAGATGACCTATAAGGTCCCTTCCAACTCTGATTATCTGTTATCTGTTACATGTGTTTCTTACCCTAAATACTATGGCACAAAAACCTTTATATTAAATATATATATAAAGAAAAACTTTTTCTACTTTTGAATCGCTTCTACACTGTGCTCTGTTTGGTAGAAAATCAGGATCTCAACCCCCCCCCAGCACCCTTGTTTAGGATTCTGGGGGGCAAAGAGGGGACCCTCTGCATGTTTGGGAAGCCCCCCCCCCCCCCCCCCCCCCCCCCCCAGGTAAGCGGACATGCAGCAGCCCAGCCAGGCTGATTCAAAGCCATGGATAGATGCAATTTACATGGGGCTGATCTGGCCTGACCCCCTCCTGACTCCTGAGTAATTTGCACCCTCAGGGTTTTGGGCTTCCCCTGTGCTTGCTGTGGCTGATGGGCTTGGCAACTCCTGTGGGTGCGCGAAAGGTCGCTTGGCAGCCCTGGAGTCAACAATGTGGCAAGATCTGAATGTGCCGCTTTGTTTGGAGAGCTCCCTGCCCTGCCCTGCCCTGCAGAAGTGGCCTTACGCAACTCGCCCAGCGCAGTCTGGGCCCTGGGGAGGGGAGGGGGCTGAATGGGGAGAGGCTGGAGAGAAAGGGGAGGGCCCCAGAGGCTGCAGTGGAGAGATCCACCGAAGCCCCCTCAAGAGGATTGTGTCCTTGTCCAGTGGATCTCTCCGCCCGAGACAAAGTCAGAATGACAGCCACACAATCAACAAAATGAAATTCAGTGTAGATAAAAGTAAAGTTTTACACTTGGGCAAGAAAAACCCAAAGGACACATCTAGACTGGGTGAAACCAGGCTCAATAGCAGGAACTGGGAGAGGGAACTTGGAGCCTTAGTGGGCAGCCAGCTAAATAGGAGCCAGCCGTGTGCAGCAGCATCCAAAAAACAACAACAATGCAATCCTAAGTTGCATTAAGAGAGGGAGACAATCGAGATCAAGGGAGGTACTAATACCACTCTATAAAGCCTTAGTAAGGCCACGCCTAGAGTCCTGCATCCAGTTTTGGTCACCACACTATAAAAAAAGATATTGATACTCTTGAAAGAGTGCAGAGAAGAGCAACCAGGGTGATTAGGGAACTGGAGGCTAAAACATATGAAGAACGGTTACAGGAACTGGGCCTGGCTAGTCTAGTGAAGACGAGGACCAGGGGAGACAGGAGAGCAGTCCTCCAATATTTGAGGGGCTGCAATAGAGAGGAGGAAGGACTCAAGCTATTCTCCAAGGCACCCGAAGGCCAGACAAGGAATAATGGATGGAAACTGACCAAGGAGAACCTGGAAATAAGGAGACATTTTCTGACAGTGGGAGCAATCAACCGATGGAACAGAAGTTGCATTTAGAAGTTGTGGGAGCTTCATCCCTGGAGGATTTCAAGAAGAGACTGGACTGCCATTGGTCAGAAATGGTGTAGAAGGGTCTCTTGCTTGGGTGGAGGGGTGGATTAGATGACCTACAAGGTCCCTTGCAACTCTGTAAATCTGTAAAGCCTGGGGCTTCCCCTTGTGCCTAAGCAACCATGGATAAGAAACTACTGCTGAGTACACTTTGAGTAAGATTTACTTTGTGGATTCTTTTTCTGATATCAATATCTATTCTGCTTATATTACCGCCACAGTATTATTAAGGAAGTTAGTAGACTGAAGGAGAAGAGAAGTTAATCTACCAAGATTTATTCTTCACAATCTGTGCTTCTAGGGTTTTCAAGCTGATTGCCCAACTGTCTCTTTATGACTTTCTCTAGCCTCTTGGCAAGCATCATTTCCAGGCTGACCGGTCTTGGGTTCCTCCTCCACCCAACTTAAAGCAGGAGCAATGGGTAAAATCTCCTCCAGTTCTTGGACACTTCACCCAGACTCAGAGATAACCCGTAAAAATTCAGCCATGCTGTCAAC